ATCCAGTTCGAATAGTCTGCAATGGAATTTTGGATGGAAGTGGGCATAGGATTTTAGTTGACTTTTCATGGTTTGTTCTACATTCTATAAGGAACTAATTCCCACATTTACAGCCAATTATGAATTTTCTCAATATCAGACCTGTTTTTTGCCTATTTTTACTGGTCTGTAATAACAATCAATAATTGCGAAGAACTGCTTTAGTATCGTTAATTAGTTGTTAGGATTCGGTGTGAGATATCGTTATTAAAAATATATACTGATAAGGAAAAGATTAAATTTTGGGCATCAGCAAATTAACTTCATTTACTATTTCGATTATGAAAAAGTGATTGTTACCTTCAATAAGTTTTTTAATTTTAAAAAAGAGTTGCTTGAATGTGTACAAACTGCTAGCACAAAACATTTGTCTTAAAAACTGTGTTATTATTGAAGTAATAAATTAGACATCAAATTATTCCCTCTCAAACATACACTTTTAGAACTAAATTCTTAACCTTATTTCAGCTGAATACTATGTCACTTGATTAATATAACATTTCCAAGTCAATTTCAACCTTTTCCAAATCAAATTCAACCTTTTCCAAGTCAAATTAAACCTTTTCCATTTCAAATTCAACCTTTTCCAAGTCAAATTCAACCTTTTCCATTTCAAATTCAACTTTCGAATTTTCGTCAATTTTCGATTTTTTTCGAAATGAAGGCCACTTACTATATTATCGAAGGCATAGCTTTTGAAAAATACAAAAAAAAAATTGATAACGCGGTTGCATATCCATTTATTTTAACATTTTAGATTTTTTCAGCGTGATATTTCTACGTCATTTCCAAGTCAAATTCAACCTTTTCCAAGTCAAATTCAACCTTTTCCATATCAAATTAAACTTTTTCCAAGTAAATTCAACCATTTCCATTTCAAATTAAACCTTTTCCAATTCAAATTCAACCGTTTTCATTTCAAATTAATGCTTTAATTTTTTGTAAATCTTATATTTTTTTTTTAAATAATGGCCATCCCCTCTCCCCCTCCAATATGAAAGTCTATTATTATGGTCTCCTAAGTAGAATTTTCACTTACGGATATCGATTTATTGTACCTATTCGGATTTATTAGGGACTTGTATTATGCTGTCCTGTATCTAGTTTTGAAAATAACCCCCATTTTAAGATTAAGTGACTGCGTTTCGAATCATTTAAGTTTTTTTGACTTATTCGATATAAGGGTGTATTTTTATGTTTCCCGATCAGTAAATTTTGAAAATGACATCCATTTTATGTTTACGCCACTGTGTTTTGACTTATTTAAGTTTTTAGAATTTATCCAATATGAAGGTCTACTTTTATGTTTCCGGAGCCGTAGATTTTGAAAACGACCTCCATTTTAAGATTAGGCCACCGCGTTTCGACTTATTTGAGTTTTTCGGATTTTTTTCATATGAGAGTATATTCTTATGTTTCCGGAACCGTAGATTTTGAAAACGACCTCCATTTTAAGATTAGGCCACCGCGTTTCGATTTCTTTGAGTTTTTCAGATTTTTTTTATATGAGGATGTATTCTTATGTTTCCGGAGCCGTAGATTTTGAAAACGACCTCCATTTTAAGATTAGGCCACCGCATTTCGATTTCTTTAAGTGTTTCGAATTTTTATCATAAAAGAGTGTATTCTTATGTTTCCGGAGTCGTAGATTTTGAAAATGACCTCCATTTTAAGATTATGCCATTGCGTTTCGGCTTATTTAAGTTTTTCGAATTTATCCAATTTTAAGATCTACTTTTATGATGCCGGAGCCTTAGTTTTTATAACGACTTACATTTTAAGATTAGGACACTGTGTTTCGGTTTTTTTCAGTGATTTTGATTTTTCCTTCGAATAAAAAACAAAATACGAAGGATTAATTTATTTTTCAATAAATAAATAAAAATATCTAATTAAAATAAATAAAATATGCATTGTCTCATTTTTAATTTAATTTTAGTTATCTTTTTTAATGTTGTGGTCTACTGTCACAAAATTATAAGATTTCGAACAATTAGCTGAAAAATCTGAATACGGAAGGTTAAATTTATTACCAGCTGCTTTTCGGCGTTTTAGTTTGTCTTCTGTGGTTAATTTAACTTTAGCTTCATAATATTTATTTATTTATTCATACTCGAAAACATATCGATGAAACTTTGTATTGAAAAAATCCAAAATGAATTATTCGAGATGCAGTGGCTTAATCATAAAATGGAGCTTAAATATTAGATACATTTAAATATTAAAGATTAGAAAAATTTCAATACGTCTCGGATAACATATAAGTAGAACCTTATACCGAAAAAGTAAAAAAAAAAAAATTTTTATAATCCAAAACACAGTGGCATAAACTTGAAATTGGGTCATTTACAAAATGGGGGAAATCTACTGCTCCAGAAACATAAAATTAGACGTTTGTACTTGTTAAATTCTAAAAACTTAAATAAGTTGAAACGCAGTGGCGTAATCATAAAATAGAGGTCATTTTCAGAATCTACGGTTCGGAAAACATAAAAGTAGACCTCTAAATTGGATAAATTCGAAAAACTTAAATAAGTCAAAATGCAATGGCGTAATCATGAAATGGAGGTTATTTTCAAAATCTACCGCTCAAGAAACATAAAAGTAGACCTTAATATTGGATAAATTCGAAAAACTTAAATAAGTCGAAACGCAGTGGCGTAATCTTAAAATGTAGGTCATTTTCAAAATCTACAGCTCCGGAAACATTAAAATACACCCTCATATGAAAAATATCCGAAAAACTCAAATAAGTCGAAACGCGGTGGCCTAATCTTAAAATGGAGGTCATTTTCAAAATCTACAGCTCCGGAAACATAAAAATACACCCTCATATGAAAAATATCTGAACAACTCAAATAAGTCGAAACGCGGTGGCCTAATCTTAAAATGGAGGTCGTTTTCAAAATCTACGGCTCCAGAAACATAAAAGTAGACCTTTATATTGGATAAATTCTAAGAACTTAAATAAATCAAAACACAGTGGCGTAAACATAAAATGGATGTCATTTTCAAAATTTACTGATCGGGAGACATAAAAATACACCCTTATATCGAATAATTCAAAAAAACTTAAATAATTCGAAACTCAGTCACTTAATCTTAAAAAGGAGGTTATTATCAAAAACTACTCATGCGATAACAGACCCACACATCGAAAAATTAAAGATAATTAAATAAATAAAAAAAGGTTGAATTTGAAATGGAAAAGATTTAATTTGAAATGGAAAAGGTTGAATTTGACTTGGAAAAAGTTTAATTTGATTTGGAAAAGGTTGAATTTGACTTGGAAAAGGTTGAAAGTGACTTGGAAATGCTATATCTGCATCTGATTATCATTTTTTTGGTTCCTTTATCCACTCTTTCCTCTCCTTTAAGGCTATATGGGTATTTCCCAAGCCAGAGGAGTGGGTGAGGAATTAATGCCCCAGAGGTCTCCAGAACAGGGATGTGAACTTGTAAATTTTTCATATCTTGTAAACTTCGGTTTATTAGCCCGGTCGGCCACCCCGCCCCAGATTATCATTATGTAAAATTAATTATTGTACCAACATATTTGAACTATATTTTGGAATTAATGAACCAAATTTTTGCATAATAAAATTTGATGAAATAAAAAATAAAATCAAGAACTCTCTCCTCCGGTCAATGGTTTCCAGCTTCAACAATGTTAAACTCTGCGGTCCGCATTGAGGCCTCCACTAGGTTCCATGGACCATTGTAAGTGTCGAAAGCAATATTGAACACTTTAATACCTCATTCTGAGTGCATGAACTTTTACTGCATTCCTTTTTGGATCTTTCACACTCTTAGAGGAGAAATCTTTAAGGAGAATAAATAATTCAGGATATTTATATTAGCCTTTCACCATAGTTTCCATTATTTTTGTACTGATGCCATTAATTTTTAGTCACTTACTTATTAGACAATTAATACTAGTTACAATAATAAAAAATTGACCTGAACGAAAAATAATTTTTTTTTCATTGTCTCAAAATTCAATGTTTTTCCTAATGATTTTAATAATTAATTTCATCATCATCCACTAACGACGTTGGTCTTAGCGACCTAATCTTGGCTGCCTTTTTAATTTCGCTGTGTAAGAATTACATAATAAAAGAAAGTATTCCGATCATAAAAAATTTAGTAAAATATTCAATGGAAATACACGTTTTCAGGTCATTGAGTCCTAATTTTGGGCTCTGTGTGTATTTGAAAAGTCTACTGGTCAATTCTGAGGCTGCCGAGAAATGAAAATTAACCAAACAGATAGAAATCGAATCCTTAACGTTCAGAACCAGGCACTTTTGGATCTACGACCCATCCTATCCCCTATGATGTGTATGGAAATAATATTTCAACAAAATCGACTAACCGGGTGTGGCACTTCATGTCTATGAATAGCCCACATTTTTATAATTTTCTCATAAATATGTCTTATGATTCTGATTAAACTCAATGTGTCAATAATAAACCAAGTTACCTTTCTAAATTACTTTTTTTGTTTATATAACATGATCGAATGATTTATTGGTCTGTGAACAAGTGGTGATACAATATAGATATATCAAAATGCAATTTTATTGTGAGGGAATTTTTTCTTCATCAATTACAATGAATCTTTTTATAAAAAATAATTAACCAAAACATGTGTAAAAAGTCCAATTTTGATTATCTTGTTCATTTGGTAGGGAATTTACAATCCTTTCAAATTACCATGGGTATGATACACCATACATAGAAATAATTATATCATTATCCAATTAAAAAAATAAAATAATAAAAACCTAGTTGTGAGAACACTTATTAAGTGGGGGTATACCACTGTGCAGTAAATTGTTTGAAAGTTTTAGCAATGATAATTGTTTCTTTTGAGAAGAAAAAATTTCTATACTACTAATAATTTATCTATTTTCTAATTATTTAAAACAAATCTTTATAAAAAGGGTTAAACAATGAAAGAGATTTCTAAAGGATTAAAAAAGAAAAACCTTATTATAATCACATTATATTTTACTACTTACAATTTTTTCAATAATATAACAAGGAGCCTATTATTTCTATTTATTTACATTAAACGAATAAACCATATGTATAATGAGGAAAATATCCCCAAAATAAACAATTCATTTTTTTTTTACTATACAATTTTTATTATAACTGGCAGTGTTTTGGCGATGTCAAATATTTTACAAAAATTGTTTTCACTTAGTTTACTATAACGACATTGCTTCTCGATTTAAGAGGCACCTTAATGGACTATTATTCATTAAAAAGAAATATATGATATTGGTATAATAAAATTAATGACATAAATAAATAAAACATGAATAATTCATAAAGATTATGAAAATTTAAACTAATGGAAAATGTAGCAAACATCCATTCAACTGAGATCAGTATTGTTTTTTGATTGTGATAATTATGAGCACTTAATAAAAGGTAATTAACTAAAAGTCTTAATATAATCAAATGAACACAATTGAACTAAGCAAAACAACTCCACCGATCTCATTAAACCCAAAAACAACACACATTATTTTCCTGAGTAATGGCAGTGTTCATTTTTTTAATTTTAAAATATTTTTACAAATTTTTATCGAAGCTTTCAATCCAGCTGAAAGTCTGATGCGAGTTTTATGAAAATTGTATTGAAAATACATTATCAAGAATCTATTGGCCATTTGAAACTACACTTAAGACACTCTGATTTGTACCAATATTGAGAAGAAAATGGTCTCAAAAAATCCTTAAATATTAAACAATAAATACAAAACACGTTTCTTAACTTTTTTTATCTTTCTTATTTATTTTTTTTTTCTTATCATTTTAGTTTGGCAGTGACTATAAAGAAGAAATCATAGCATAATTCCTATAAGGCAACCAATGAAATATCAAAGTCAATAACTTATGTTAATCGTACTTCTTCTTAACACTGACAAAGTTAGCTTTATACATTTAAAAACAAACCAAACAGGTTCTAAATTTTAAATCACAACAATCTTTAAATTAAGAAATAAAAGAAAAATAGGTAACAGCTTGTCTTTTTTTCAAAACAACACCAAACCAATATTTTTAAACTATACAATTGCGAACAAGTGAAATAATGATATTAAGGACAAAAATAAAATTCATGAAATAATTATTAGTTTGTACACACAAAACACGTGTTTTTATATATATATATATAAATATACATTTAATATCTTACAGTTATAATTAAGAAATTAAACCAAAATAAATAGCAATATACGATGAACTTTATAAAAACCGATGGCAGTCATAACTATGATTTACATAATTATTCTAAATATTTCTGACGCCAAATCACAGAAGACTGTAATTTGAACGTTCATCATTGATTCCATAATTAAAAGGCATACTTGATCACACCATTATTGAGGTATGAGATTCAAGTTAATTTTTATTTACAATATTTGCTATTTACATTAGTGAGATCATAATGGCTTTTGAACTAAGGTCAGGGTTTGTCAGACTCGATAAAATAGCAACTGTTAGTACAGATGTTATTGAGGCTGAACAGTCAAATCAAATTACAATAAACAGTCAGTTGAACCTTCAAATCTAAAATATAAGTCATAATAAATATACAAAAATTGTTAAGTTAACAAGATACTGCCATAAAATAGCTAAAGCCTCAAATAAAAATCAATACATTATTAAACTAAGCTCGATATGCCCTAATATTTAACTAAACGTATCTTGGACACTTGGATGAGGTGAGCTATAGTTGATGGAGGCAGTCTTTCCATAGTACCAGTCTTCATTGAGATACTCATTTTATTTTAAATTAAAAATTTCTTCATTCCGCGATGATATGTTGATGAGACATTTCGATACACTTAAGCCTGGCACATTTTAGAGCTATCAAACAACACATCATTAACTCCAGTTCATCAGGTGAGTCAAATTGACACAATCTTCTAGTTGTTAGTAACATCATACAGTCGAACCACTGGGGCTTTGCTGGAACAAGAAAATAGAAAAATTACAAACCATTTGTTTAAAATATTTAAAAAAATACTTAACTTGAATTTTCAAGCACACCAGTTTTAACTAAGGAGTAATTTTACAATTAAGTTGTTAACATTAATGCTCTCAAGTGATCAAGTGACAAACCATCTATTTGTGGTTTCTTAAAAGAGAATGGATAGCATTTTCACAACTAGAAAGTTTTATCAAAGTTTATTTTTGTAAGGGTAGATTTTAAATTTGTTTAATACTCAAATAAATATAAAGTTAAATTATGTTCTGTACCAAAATCTGTGAAGTGTGCCTTTGGTAACTTTTTTAATAGTTTTATAGTAAGTCATTTCATCTTGTCAAAAGTCATTTTAGTCTTAATTAGTCATAAAGAGTCTGTTTCATTATGATTGTTAATGAGAATCATCAGAAGGATATGTATAGTATTAAATGGAGAGTATCAACTGAAAAAAAAAAAAAAACTTACCACAGGATGAATTGTGAAATTGTCAAAAACTTCCATGAGTTCAGACATTCTATATTCTTCTAAGCAGACGAACCCTTCCAAGGTAGGTGACTGTTTTCTCGCACAGTCAAGGCAATGCACTACATGTCTCTTTTCTTGTTCTCTTATGAACAAGATATTAAACACTTCCATCTGAAAATAACAACATTTACTGAAATTAGTCTAATGAGCAAACATTCATACTTCAATTCAAACAAAGATCAATGATTTCATTTTGTTGATTAAAACGTTATACTATTATTATATAAGTCTTTCTGAACTGCAAACTATTCTAACAAGAGTGGGAAAGTTAAAATTCATTCTGCGGTTCCACTATAAAATAAATTACAATCCATCCAGGCCGGCTTTGACTTTTTGTCAAGTTAGGAAATAAATATAGGACAATGACAGTTCATCAAGCCTACCTCACACTGGCCACAGTAATGGGACGCTTCATTTTTCCCTCTTCCGTGAAATCTGACTTCCACACCTTTGGCCTTAACGAATTCAAGAGTCAAAGCACAATGTTTCAATGTCCTCAATAAGCAGCTCCTGTAAAATATAAATATAACAAAAAACTATAAAACTGAAATTATTCCCATTTTCATATTATAAAAAAATTTAATTTAGGGTATAATAATCAAATTTAGTTATGTCCTTCTGAAGCAATCGCATGATAGTATAATATTATGACATATAAATTTTAAAAAGGAAATTTTCAATTAACGAGTAAGGAATCTTCGAGCCTGAGTTAATCCAGCATGCTCTTTTTTTTTAGTTGGATGTCGACTATGTACTGAGATGTATAATTAAGTGGTCTTTAATATCATTTAGGTCTTATCTCCATTAATGTCTGTTTAGGCTGTTACCGATTGATAATTATCAATACGAAATTTATAAATATAATTTATCGATATTACCATTCGTTCAGGTCGTTAATTTAATTTTAATTTTTTTTTTTTTACACAAAATTATGATTAGTAATTATTTTCGTTTTGTTTTAATTTACACAAAAACATATATGTATATGAATCGAGAGAACTTTATATAGTTTCATTTGAATGTGACTAGATTTTTTAAACAAGCAACAATAAAAAATAATAAGGGATAATAGGACTTAAATAAGAGAAAATAGGACATTTCTTGTAATTAAATAACTGGTCCCTAAAGGTCCTAACTGCTAGTGCCCTTCCCTTTGGTAAATCTTAATAAATCAAATTCAAGAGCTATCACAAATCAGTTGATACTATAAATATGGTTAATACATGGGCAGCTTATAGATCAACTATCCATTGCCTCATACAGAATCTATCTCCATACAATGAATCTCAGGACAGTCATGTAATAGTCCGTGGTACAGACCAATTTTCATTAAATTATTAAAATCCGAGGTCAGCAAACTTGGTCTATTTAATTAGGTACTACACGTACTAGATACATTTTCTTCTCACTCGGATCATATGATAATTTCATCACAAAATCAAGAAAAAAGGTGCCATACAAAAATATTGAGATGTATGGCCTATACAACCTCGTTATTTTGAAATTTTGGGGATGTAGTTCACACACACCAAATGATTCAATATTTTTGAAGGACACCTTTTTTCTCGAGTTTGAGCTCAAATTATCTTACGATTCAAGTGGAAAGCAAATGGCTATTTATGAGATTTCACTACCTGATTAAATAGACAAAGTTTGACGATCTCCAGATTGAAAATGTCCCAATTCCAAGAATTTTTGTAAATAAAATAGTTGTAGATTAGTATGAGATGAATCTATTTACAAACTTTCACGCGGATGTTAATAATTTGATAAAAAGAGGCCTGTACCACGGACTAAAAATCCTATATGAAATCAGGATACAGGATGCAGAGTTTGTTTTGTTTATTTGCCATTTAACCTCATAAGTGAATTCAAGCTCAATGATTTGTTTTTGTTTATCAGAGATTTAAACTATTACATAAGTTAATGTCCTTGGGTCCTAATTAATTTTAACCTGCCTATAAACAATAAAAACTGGGGCCATTCCTCAATGGAGATCCCCAAGGTTATGTCTTAATACTCATCATAATGTGGCAATCATTTAACATAGATTGCTTAACATTAATACCCCTCCTAGTTGGCATCGGATATCACAAAATTTATTTAAAATATCACTAAATAGATGACAATAAAAATTAATTTCCTTAATTTTTAATGGTATTCTATATGACTTATTAATTTAAACATCTTTAAGATATTACAGTAATTATCTATGAGATAAAAGAAAATTACAACAGTGGATTGACTCACTTAATAAGTTCGAATAGTTTGGGGTCGGATACTTTGATGTTTCTTGCAAGGTTCCAAGATAGATGCACCATAGGAACTATACTCTTGAAGCTCTGCAGTTTGTTCCATTCATAACGTTCTATAGCCAGCTGGTACTGGCGAGCTGTCAATGGACCAACGTTCCACGCAATATTATTGCACCAACCAATAGCCTGGACCCAATGGACACATCCTATAACAAAACAGATTGAAAAATTATAAAAATGAATATCATATGATTAACAATATTTCAAAAAAAAAAAAAAAAAAAGAAAGAAAGAAAAGTACATAATCACATTTTAATGTCAGTTTTAAGTAAAATAGATTTACAATATACCTGAATTGACCCAGACAAGATCTCCAGGCCTTTGAAGAAATCGGTATACAGGAACGTTTTCTTCATAGAGATCCTCCAGTGCGGGCCACCAGGAACCATGGAGGTAGTTTAGACTGTACCTATAAATTAAAATTAGTGAGTAAATTAATTTATTTACTGATAAAAAGTTGTTACGCAACTTTGGTATTTACAATTGGTATAAAATTTTAGTAAATAAAACATAAGATAATAAAATAATTTAGAAACAAACCTTTCGCAGAGATTATAAATCACTCCCCAATAAGCATCTGGTACAGCGAACCACTCACAATCTCCAGGTCCTATATTGATATTTATAGAACAGAAGTTGTTGTTTTCTTGATGACCGGGCGTTCTACTTCCAGGAACCTATCGTAAATAAATATTGAATTTATTTGTATTCAATAACATTATTCTGTTTTAATAAAATATAATATAGAGCAAGATTAGCTAAGATTAATTAAGATGGTACATGAAAATTTTTATTCTACACTTAAACTCTATAAGGGATAATTATAAATTAATTTAAATAAAAAATTCAAATTATGCTCAAATTATGAATTATGTTGGATCAAACAACATTTATTTTTATTTATGCAGTTGTTCGAATTGCCAAATTGCAATTTCCTCTGGACATATCAAACATAACACTAATGAAAAATTATTATTTTAAATATTAAGATAAATAATTTAATAGTTTATTATATCCTTAAATTTGTTGGCAACAGAGTTGACACTTAGATAAATCTACAGCTAGATTAGATAAATCTATTTCTTTCAATCACATGAAAGTTCTATTTTGTGAATTAAATAGAATAGAAATTAAATCAAGATGAAAAAAAAATTGTGCTATATTTGTGAGTAATATAAAAGTAAGCAAGAGCTATTGATGATGGCCTGATAGCCGAAATGTCTGTAAATATAAAGTTTTGGAGTGGTGAAGTTGTTTTTCGTATCCCTAATGAATGAATTTAATTTTATTAATCAAAATATTGATAGTAGAGTAATGAGGACAGGACTGTTGCTCAAATGAACTAAACTGAATAGGTACTGAGAGGACTGGTAGTGTTGCGTTGAAGGCTCACTACATTGATAATGATTCAAAGAGAGAAAAGATAAGCTTTACATTCTAATGACAATATATTCACTGAACTTTCTTGAAAAAGTTAATGATATGGCCAGGATTATTTAATGATATTACTACAAATCAAAATGCATTGTACAAATGAAGCACCCAGTAAATACCTTTAAAAACATTAAAATTAACTGGATGAAAACAATAGTTATTACTGAAAAATCAAAACAAAAAATGAGGAAGAAAAGAGTTAAGTTACAAAAGTATGATGAGAAAACTACTACTGCCTTTGATCCAATTTAGCTAAATAAGGCTCTTGGCATTATATTTTAGTAACAATATATAAAATGACAGAAATAAAGCCTTACCAAACATCTTATCATTTTCAAGAGTTAAATAGAGGTAAACCAAAAACATGTTGACACTAAATTATAAAATTTAGGAAAATTATGTTAAACATGCATTAAAATGATCTATTATTACAACAGAAAATTAAGGAAAAAAAAAAAACTTCGAAAGAGGGCCATAGGACGTGAGATCCCAGTCAGGTTTCTGTTGATCTAAAAGATACTGTTGAAGACAAATGGCTGATTGCATTCCCTGAATGCAATACATGAATCCCCAATGCAGAAAATGGTCATAGCCAGAGTAGCAAAATAATTCTTCTCTTAAAATCCTGTTTCATAATTGAAGAAATTATGAATCATTGGTTTGAAAAATACAAATATAAAATGAGGTAATTCATTTGGTGATAATATTCTGAGCAAGGTGTGAAGAATAAATGAACTAGAAATAACAACTTGTACTTCAGCTGTCATTAATAGAACAAATATAAATGAAATAAACAAAGAACCAAAAAGAAAAAATACAAACTATTAAGTAAGAAGAAAAACATCAAGGACTTGCAAAAAAAAAAAAATAATATTAAGTAAACAGGAAGAAATAAAACAATTCGTACAACAAAGAGCTCAATAGAAAATAAAAAAGTAAAAATAATAGCAACAGGGACAAAGATGGAACCAACAAAAATAACCAAAAAATAAATAATAAACAACAAAATTAGAGGATAAATAGACTTTATAAATATTCATCATGGAAGACACCTGAATATCAGAATATCCATCACATATGGCTTACAGAGAAATGGTACTAACAACTTTTGAATTCTAAATATTTTGTTATGTAGAGACAAATGAGCATCAACAATTCAACATTCTAATTTATTAAAAAAAAATCATGGTATATTATTCATTAATAATGTCACAATTGTTCAAAAGTGTCTGTTGATTAACTTTTGTTATACCAGGTAACAAAAATTACACAGAGTACAATGTTGCTTTCCACATTATAGACAATCTTCATATCTTTGGGTTAAAGAATTTTGAAAAGTCATATACAGAGTCCTGCTTATCCATACCCCGATAATCTGGAGAAACTTTAATCTATTAAGGGATGCTGGTGGGGAGTAATAGGACCGGCAAGTAGCCTTTATGGTCCTTTCTGTTAACCCCATGATGTATTCCTAGAGATTCATTTCTTGTGACCATTGAGAATACATATAACTGAGCCAGGTGGTAATAGAACCTAGAACATTCTGTACTGGGCACTCTGAGACTTTTGCCCCAACATGCTCTGCCATCATGCCCTCAAGTAAGCAGTAAATATGAAAATCATTTAAAGAGAGGATTTGACTTAAGCCAGCTTAACAGAGGCAAGAATCAGGCAACAGAAAACTATACCGTAAATTTTACACACTAGAAAGTTTTAATTATTATTAAATTCTTGATTTTTACATTACAACATTAATGTACAGTGGTTAGTTAAGGAAATGAACAAAAGATTGATTATTAAATGCAAAGATGTTTTGTTTTGTTAACACTTATTATCTCAGTGCAATAGATCAAAATATTAATATTAAAATAAAACTGCATTTTTGCAGCAAAATTCGGTAATTAAGATGGAGCCTGGTCCCATTTAGTTTGGATTAACAGGAAACTCTATGGTGATTTAATTTAAAAGCATCTAACAGAAGGTGATGTTTCAGGATTATGTACACATTTAAGGATTTTTTAAAATGAACATTTTTTTTTCATGAAAAGAATATTCAGTTCTAACCTTTTGTTTTTTGTGAAATGAAAATCTAAAAACCAGGAAGTGTACTACATTGGACTCTGTCATATTCTTATCTATATCATAGGAACCATTTTTCAATTAAAAAAATCAATATTTGTGATTATTATTCTCATTTCATTAATAAATTAAAACTATGTTAAAAGTGTTGACGTCCACTTGCTATGAAATTTATAAGATCACTTAACTTGCATTATTTAATATACAAAATAAAATTATCAATTATTAAATAAATTACAGGAGTTAATATCAAATTTTAGAACCATCATAGCTATAAGCCATGATTTAAGTCATTGTATATTTCATGAAATTCAAACTATTTAACTTAAGGAGCAATAACGTTTATTTAATCTCAAATATAGTTATGAGTTCAATGGATAAAACATAGTACGTGTTTAAAAAGGATTAGAAGTATTCTAATAAAAACAAAGCATAAAAATAAAATTTTCTTACCTTCATATACAATTGTACAGTGTTCATGCCGAGAATGACATGGCCGACATGAGATAGCATGTTGCCAGCTGAAACAACACGTGCAAAAGCTGGCAGCTTCATTAGTTCCTGGAGTTGTGGTTTCCACTTCCTTTCATCTGAGAGGTCTACATTTGTACCAAATCTCAACATTTTAGATCCAGGTGGTGCTTTCAAACCAGGTACACCCTAAAATAAAGAAAATTATTACTTTGAATACTTTCATCGGTAAGTAAATTTTAATGAATTATATAAAAAAGTGTTTTCTGTAGTTTATTTTTTCACTAAATGATTAAAGGTTGGGTAGCCTTACATGTATTTACTTTAGATAGCTTAAGTAAATATACAAATGATCTTCCTGTTTTACTCTAAGGATGTTAAAAACTCAATAAAATAATAAAGTTGGATATTCATAAGTCAACCAACTTACAGTTGCATTCTTTTTCTTGCGAACATTTCCAGTCGAATCTTTAGAATCTGAATCTGATAAGTTACTATTCATTGTGTTGTTAGGTGCGTGAATACCGACCTTTTCTACTTTTTCTCGTTCTTCCTGTAATAAAAATTTACCTTCCATAAATAAACAATTAATATTGATATAATATATACCTTTAAAATAAAATATATTAAATATTTATTGATAAATTAGAAATTGCCCACCCACCACTGACTACTTAAATTGTTTTTTTAAATAATTTTATGAGTGCGATTTATTGAGTAAGATTTTTTGCTATCCACTGTAGTATGAAAATTAAACCAGCATTTAGTATAAATAATTCATATACAGAAAAATCAAATAAATCAGGAGAGAGAATCACTTTATTTTCATAAAAATTATGATAAAAAATAAATAAATGACTAATAATTTGTTAATCGTGAACATATTAATAAAAATGAAAATTATATACATCACTATATTTAATAAATGATGATGATTGATAGTTGAGGATTAAATATAATGATAATCCGGATCTAGTAGACAGGTGAAATCAAATTAAACATAACTAACAGGACTTTCCTGTTGGCCCACAACCTTGCACACACTCTTCAATTCTTGAATATGATCTGCATATTGGTGTCAAGAGATTGCCAAAAAAGAAACAAACAATAAGTTTTTTATAAAATATTAATCCAAAGATCACTAATTGTACACAGGACATTTCTGCTTCAGGAGCCATTTTCAAGATCATGCAAAAATTAATTTTAATTCAGTTGTTATAGTTCAAAATACATCCTTATATAACACATATTAATTTAACAACTATCAGATATATAAATAGTCCAAATTCTATTTTATATAAATTTTTGTTTTTTTATTTTAAAAAATTTCTAAAATCTATCATTATAATATAATTCGTCTTTTAGTCGTTCTTTTATTTCATCGAATGTCGTTTTTTCACTTCTAAAAGTTGTAATAAATAATTAATTAATTAAAATAGAATGTTAAAATTAAAAAAAAAAAGAATATTATTTGTTCTCAATTTATGCACCTCTTTCGCAAACGATATTAAAAATGTTCCTCCTCACTAACGCATTCATACAAGACTTGATTTATTTTACAAAGGAGTGGGTGGAGGGATTTGGCCTAATATTGATAAATATTTGATATTTATAATAAATATTTGACCTTTGGCCTAATATTTTATAAAAACTTACGGGAAAATGGCACCGAACCTGAATGATATGACTAGAAACAAATAATCTGTTTGGTTGTTTTATTGTATCACATCTGCCTGATCTCCCAAAATTTGAAACCTCATAAATAGATATTTGCTTATAACAAGGGTAATCAGGTTTTTAGATTTAAGACAAAGGTAAGTAAAGACATGAGAGACAAATGAGCATATTACCTTGAGACTTTCTTGAAATGAAGAAGCCTGGTATTGAGCATATTTAGCAATGGTCGTGTGTGACCTGTGGCTAATGCACGACCACCCTCTTCCTCCGAGTGTCGGGTCCCAGTTTTCATCTGAGGTTTGCTGCACCTGGGTTCTCACTTCTATCGTATGGTCAGGATTGGCTTCCACGAGGGTTTTTGTCGAGAACAATCCTAAGTCTAAATAAAATAAACCAATGTTAACAAGTTGAAAATTTAATATGAAAACTAAATAAGAGAAAATGATGTGTTAATTGTAAAGAAGATTCATCCTAGTGAACTTCTATTCATAATAAATAAGCGTAAAGGAACCTTTAACGGCTGTAAAACTCAAAGACTTTAAATTTCTTAAAAGTTGATGAACATTTTAATGTAAGCACTTTGTCTACTTTAATTATAAATGAACGAACATTAATTAATATATCATCAATCATAGATATGTTAAAGAAAAGAACAAATCGGTCTAGAAGATATTTTATGAAACACTTTTAAAGGACTTATTTCAAATATTGAGAATATAATTATATACTATCCAACTTAATTTTAAATTGATAATGTATTTTAATATAATAAATAACTAATGTCACAGAAATTATATTTTTTAATTTCATTTCAAATGATTCTCCCACGTAAAGCTGAGACGGTCAAGAACTTGCAGCGGACGAGGCAGCCACTTTTGAAACCGCAGGTTTGGCGAAGCTATCCAATCCGACGTCCGAGAAATTTTATATATGTTAAAAAATTATTTAACAACAATATGTTAAGTAAATAAATAATAAATTTATTAAATTAATATTTAGATATTAATTTATCGATTACTTGGCACCCTCCATGCAGTTCTAACTTAACTGCTTCTGTTTCAATTATTTAGTTAAGTTAGTACTGCGTTGAGGGTGGAACATAATATAAAAATTTAATTGTATATTTACTACCGATAAAATTTAAATCATTTCTAACTTTGTCAGACATCTATCCTACATTATGTGGCTACGCATTACAAAATGAGTTTTATGTTCGAAAAACAATTAAAACCATTATAAATTTATTAAGAAGGTGCTAATAATGTTGGCATCATCTTTTCAACTTCATTTAGATCCCAATCAACATCTTCACAAGGTGAATAATTTTAATATTGCTAATTTTAAAATTATAAATTAATTTTCATGTGAAATATGATTTGTTTTATATTGAGATAATATTACAATAAAATAATTAATTGAAGTTAATAAGAGAGATCTCATTTGTCTTGTCTTGGTTTTAAGCAATTTAATTAGTTTTATGGGAAATAACTACTGTAATATTGTTTGAGTTCTCCAAATCGTTCAAACATAAAAATATATTTTTATATTAATCCTTTAAAGAGAATATCACTTAAGTCATAAAACATGTAACTTCTATTTTCAGTTCAGTGATCTACATAAAAACTAAAAAAAAAAATTAGAACAACAATAATTCTTAAAAAATACTGACATCATTGAAGGGGTGTATCTGAAAAAAATAATTAAAATTTAATATTTTGATAAGTACTCAGAGGAATAAAAAAAGTTAGAAGCCAGAATCGTATGGCCATCATGTTGCGATCACATTTATTTCAATCACAAAAGAGAAATAAACACCAGTAGAATCCTAATAATTCATATCTTCAGGGGTAAGGAGAAAAATATTATGTTTATCGGCTCAGTCACTTTAATAAGAAATTACACGGTAGGGTAACATAAGCTTTTGGGAAACATTATTTTCATTATTTATTAAGTTTGCACAAGCATACATACCAAATACAATTAACTTTTTAATATATTAAAAGTAAACCATAATTAAAAAAATTCAGCTGTGTTGGGTGAATCAAAAGCATTTTCACGAATATTCAAAAAACATTCCATCATGTAATAATGAGGTATTTTTTATCCTGTTTTGTTGTTGACCTTAAAGGTAGAGAAAAAGAACAGAAAACGAGCAATGGCTATTTTGGTAAAAATGAATATCATACACAAGCCATCAGGATATGGATTACCAGTATTCTACTGTGGTAGGGTAGCAACTTTTAAAAGTGGCAACATTGACAATATACGATTATTGAATTCTGAATCAATAAAAATGATCACACATCCAAGAAATTTAGCAAATTGAATGACTAGCGGTATAAAGAGAAAAAGAATCACAATTAACCTGTTTTGAATACTAAAATATATATTAAAACAATAAGAATGATTTGATTATCTAAGAGGAATGAACAAGTCAAACATGTGTCCGATTATTAGACATGAGAGGAACCCATTTCTAACAAGACTAAAATAGTTGAAATAATAAAAAGGATTCTTGTTTCGGTATCAACAAAAGAGTAGCAGCATTTGTATACATTATAAAATATTTTTCAATTCATTCATTTAGAATCTATTATATTTTTTCTTGTCAGTTTGGAGGAACTTTGCTCTTCCTTTATCTCAGATTTCATAAATTCAAACCAGCTCTCTGAAAAATATTAATATGATGAAGCTATCTCCTGGTCAAACAACAACGTTGGCAAAAATGAAAACATTGTTGACAAATTCACATCAAGTTGAAAACGAATCAAAGGAAGAATTAGTCTCATGGGTGATAAATAGTTAGGACGCAGCAATTTCAAAGGTTTTTATTGGTGTCGGCGTTTCAACCCAAACATGTGGGTCATCATCAGGGCTGAAAAATTGTTTAATACAATCATAGATATAATATTATAAGACAGACAATGATTAATAATGAAAAAATAGTTATTGATGATACATGAAATAGACAAATGAAATATGTAACAAGTTATACAAACTGAAAAATAATGTATATAATCAATTAATAAGAAATGTAATATTTACTCTTGCTAATCGTGTGTCGAGCACTGAAGGTATTTAAGTACTGATACAATGGTAGGTAAGTAAAAGAGTCAATGGAGGATTTTCCAGATGTGCTTTTAAGATAGCAAAAGTAGGTAAACAAGCCAGAGGGGTTAAAATTTTTGTTTGTAGAATGAAAATAATTTGATAATTGAAATATTCAAGATTTATACAAGATTTACGTTGTTTCTTACAGTTAAAAAAATGTGACTATCGGGCTTGTAATGAAATAAAAATTAATAACTGATGAAAAATGATTTCAATACAAGCCAATAGCCACAATTTTTTAACTGTAAGAAACAACGTAAATCTTGTATACATCTTTTCTTTTTTTTTTTTTTTTTTTTTTTTTTTTATTCATGATATTTACAACTATATTGATAAATAAAATACATTTAGCAAATTTGATAACAGAAAATAATAACATGAAATCACTTGTTGAGAAACTACCCACTGGTAGCACTCTAAAAACAAAATGTATTTACAATAAGAGATCTCGAGGCCATCTTCTTTTCAGACGGCTCGGAGGGTTATCGGGAATAGAAGAGGAAGCAAGGTTAGAGACGAGAGGATTCGGATGTTTCTGAAGTTTATTATGAAAGGATTGGTATCTGGATTGGGCCAAATCGGAAACATAAGGAATATTAAGGTCATTATGGATTATTTTATTGGTGATAAGGATTTTGGATTGTAAGGATTGGATACGAGAGGAATTCGATGGCTTAGTGGAGCCCCAAAGCTCAACTCCGTAAGTCCAAATAGGTCTTATTGTAGTCATGTATATAAGTCTTTTGTAATTAACTGGAAGTTTAGAGCGTTTGTCTAGTAAGTGTTGGAGTAGTTGGGAACGTCGAGCGGTTTCTTGTCGTTTCAGTCTGATATGAGGATTCCAAGTTAGACGTTTGTCCAAGTGAAGTCCAAGGTATCGGATTTGTTCAACAGGAATAAGTGGGGTATTATTAAAGGTATACATGTATATGTATGTATATTCAAGATGTATACATGTATACATCTTGAATATTTTAGTTATCAAATTATTTTCATTCTACAAACAAAAATATTACCCCCTCTGATTTTGTTTACCGACCTTTGCTATCTTAACAGCACATCTGGAAAATCCTCCACTGACCCTTTCTCTTATCTACCAAAGTATAAGTACTTAAATACCTTCAGTGCTCAAAACACGATAAGTAAGACTAAATACTAATTTCTTATAAATTGATTGTATACATTATTTTTTAGTTTGCATAACTTATTACATATTTCATTTGTCTATTTCATGTATCATTAATCACTATTTTTTTTTCATTATTAACCATTATTGGTCTTATAATAATATATCTCTGATTGTGTTAAACAATTTTTCAGCCCTGATAATGACACATGTTTGGGATGAAACGTCGGCACTAATAAAAACTTTTAAAATGACTGCATCCTGACTATTTATCACTAATGATATGTAAAACAGTCGACTAACTTCCTTTTCAATAAGCATTAGTCTCATATTAGAGAAGATAGATACTAATAAGATTATTATTGGTGGCCTGTTGAGGTGAGACAGGTGGAGGCCATAATAACCATAATTTGGTTTTTTTAAATAGTTTCATCATTTATTTAATAAAACAGGTTCTATATTATATTAAAAATATAGAGTACAACCCATTTCAGTTAGAATTCCCTACTAAAACTTTTCTCAATGGTTCCAGTAATCAATCTCCTGTTTTGTTTGCAATGCCATTACAACTAAATCATTGCAGAAAGAGAAAAGAATTCTGTTTAAAATGTATTTCCTATCTTAGGTGCTGCCATAATAGCGTATAATGCATCAAGAAATCACTATTCTTCAATATATCAAATAACTTCCTGTTAGTTTATATTAAAGTAGAATTTAGTTCACTCAATTTCCATTCTGTCTTCTTCTCAGTAAAATCTTCTAATTATTGAAATACAGGGATCTGGACTTCATTCCATTTACTTCGTTTACTAACCAGAATGTCTTTGATGATTTTTTGAATGGCGTGATATAACAAAATATACACATTCTTTTCTAATAGTAAACTAATTCAAGTACAAAAACAAGGTCCTTTGAAATAACAACCAACATTCTATAATTTCATCTTTTGGGTAATCTCTACAGTATATTAACTTGACACAATCTTTTACTACATGATAATTTGAGGAAAAAAATAATAATCAATAATACATTTAAAAGAGCATAATGAAGAATCAAAAATTGATCTCCTAACTCAAGTTTATACCAGTCTATCAATTTCCTTTGTCTAAAATAAACACATAATATTCGTGAAAAAAAAAAAAAAAAGATTGATTCTCACCAAGTTTGAGAGCTGCAGCTAGCCCTCTAATCACCGCAATGGGATGCTTTAGGCAGAATTCCTGGAGTTGAGGACTGAAAGCATCTTTCTTTCCTTCAAGGTAAACGCTAGGGGTCGGAGGAAGCAATTGCTCTCTCGTCAGCCTTACAGGAGGAGGATCTGGAGGAGATGGTGGTTCTTGCCGGTCGCTCACGACATTGCAGTTAGGTACTCCTAATTCGCCTCTACCCCTACAACAAATGGAAAAAGTAGTAAAAATAAAATTTAGATTCATTATATTAAATTTAAATTTTTATGGATAATTATAAAGAAACATGATTTGACATCACCTCATATTATTATTTAATGAAAATATGCTCTTTGGCTTGGTTGCAATTCTTAATGCTATCTTCATAAAATTTTTGAGATGATTTACAATATAAATTAACATTAATTTATATTGTATAACATTAATAGTGTAGAATAATAATTCCTACTTGAAGTGAGTTTGATGGCAATAATTACTAATTTATAACTGATTCACCGATTAATTTTATCTTATTCAGAAATAAAAATCTTCTAAGTTTTCATAAATTCAATACAATTTCAAAATACAAACTAAATTGATATCATTTTTATCAGACTTACTTGCATGCTTCGATGATAGTCTTGGCATCCATATCAATGTTGAACTCCACTTCAGGTTGGATATCGAGGAGGGAACCGATCTGAACCTTTTCATCTTCGTTGGGTTCTGTCTTTAGCCTCATCTCAGATCCTTCAGATTTTATACTGTTCACTGAAATAAGTAGATGAATATTGTTAATAAAATGAATTCTTATATAAAGATCATAATTAAAGACTTTCCAAGATGCCTAACTTGGAGCTAATTAGAAGCTAAGGGGTTATTTGAAACTTAACCGAAAACAAGTGGTGGGAATGTAAGTTGAGTGCCTCATGACCTCATTAGCAAAGCTACATATTGGAGAGATCATGTTTATATTTTTACAAGAGACTTAGGTTTCATTTAAAACCTTTTCCTGGTTTTGATGCAAGTAATCCTCTACGAGGTTCAAGTTAAGGTCATTTACTTTTAAAAAAATACTTGTCGCCAACACTATAAGGCTGATAAAGTTTTAAATAAATAAAACTAAAATATTTGTTTTTCAACTAGTATTTATGGTCTTTATAATATGATGAAGGTTGTACTTTCTAATACTATCATTTGTACTTAAACATGTTAACATTCTGATTCAGTTGATACAATTATTTTGTTATCAACAAGTACCACATAAATATAATAACTAAAACCTATTCAAAGCATATACTGCAAATGATCCAATGAATTTTTAATAATTAATCCCAAATATTTAACTTAACTAACTTTGTCCCTTAAATAAATCTATGAACATAATAAACATCATACAAGAGCAGAACTTTAAAAATAGCTATTAACATATTTTTAAAGAAATAATATAAAACTTATAACATCATTAGGAAAACTGGCAGCCATTTAACTTTTATTTCTTAATATGGAGGAATCATAAAAAAGAACTATTTTAACAACAAAGTAGTAAAACAGAGTATGAATACCTGAGCTGGGTCTTGGACTATTTGAATCTTGACTTTTTGCTATCGCTGACGTCGTAACCCCTGAACTGGTTGGAGTACTTGTAGGTGACTTTCCATTGGCAAAGGCTTGGTCCACTATAAAACAAAATATATATATATATATGTATAAATGTACAAGATTGACTTTAAAATAATAATCAAAGCTAGCAATAAGTTTAGACAGCAGCTGCACTTCTTACTAAATGAAAATCTCAACCAATTCTTTTCCAGCATTTTTATAATTACATAATTAAATTGGTAATCAAGATATAAAAACTGGAGGTCAAATGGATAATACATAAGTAGCTTATTTATCCACAATTTAATAATTCCAAGTTTTGATATTCTTTAATTTAACCAGGAAAATCAGAAACATGTGAAGTCGATAACCTAATAGTAAATAGAAAACAACTTATTCATAAAGAAAGCAGGCTTTTGACTTTCAATATTGCTCCAACATGAATTATAATTTTTTTCTCTCTATTAAAGGTATCGATTCCTCAAGTCTAGTTTAAAGCTAATTTTATATGGAATACTCTACATTTCGTCATTAAAATGAACATTAATTAATAATTATCTTAATAAAACAATTAATAATTATCTTAATCTAACACTTACAAACTGAAGGGTCCTTTGTGTCAAGTTCTTCGCTTGGTGCAGGAGAACTAAAGTGTTTAAGTAAATCTTCGGCGAGTGATGTCGCAATGTCTTTCTGCGACAAAAGAGCCTGTAACTCTTGATCACTGACACCAACAACATCAGTACTGCTCGCACAAGAACTTGATGTCTAGGGAAATAATAGATTTTTAATACAAAGGAATATAATATAAATATTAAAACAACAAATAATCAAGTTTATATTATGAAAATTAATAGTTATTTGATATGATAAAACATGGCAGTGCAAAACAAATTGAAAAAAACTATTTTATAAAACAAAAATACATTTCATCAATACATTTGATAGTGACCCGTAGTGATAATCAATAGAAATAAATGTTTTAGAAATCTATAAGGCACAACTAAGGAAGACATGATTGTCATAAAAAATAACAATAATCAGTAAATAAATAAAATGTTTAATAATGATAGTTTTCTCAACTAACTGAGCGTCTGTAATTCATTTTTTTAAAATTTATTTGAAACACGTGAGCTTGCTACTAGTTGCAGCCTCTATCGCTACCAACACTAACATGCACGGTTATTATGTAATACACCAAGTCAATGTAAAACAGTTAATTTTCAACCAAATTTATTTTTAAAGATCTTTCATAACTCTACAATGAAAAACAAAAAGTTTGGACGAATCCCTTATTTACTATATTCAGTAATCTGAATCTGTTTTCGAAGAAAAATTATGAAGATTGATTAACTTATCTGAGTATTTTCTTTTAAGTAATTAATTTTTAATAAATATAAAAATTTTGTTAAAGTTTTATCACTTGGATGTGTCATTTTACATGGACATTTTTCAAGGTTTCACTATTTTCTAAAATTATCTACCGAGTAAAAAATGTAACAAGAATTTATTTAGAATACTCCCGATATATTTATTTAACTCGAAAGCTACACTGAAATAAATTTATAAGCAACAAATAAATATGAAGGATGATTAAGGGGAAGTTGATAAATGAATATTAAAATATAATTTTAAACTTGTGGTATAAATCATAAAGATTTTAATTGTTAAATGAATAAGTGAGGAGGCGAATAGATAAAAATAAATGTACCTGGTTGAAGAGAGGTTGTTGTTGGTTGAACGGGAACTGAGACTGTTGGAACTGGCTGTTCTGCCTAAAGGTGCCCCCTGGTTGGGGTGATTGGGAACTGCCACTGAAGCTGCCTGTGTCCGACTGGGGAGAGACTCCACCCTACACAAATTGTATAATGAAAACAAAACAATAGACAGCTTCGGGTACTTATAAATAAGTTTCTTCAACATCTTGTGCCATAATACAAGGCTAATATTCACCAGAGATTAGACTCAGTCATAGTCAACAGAAAGAAGACAACATATCAAATTAGATTAAGCATGGGATTTGTAATGTAAACACCAGAGGATCAAATCCTTGCTCTACTATTCATTATTGGCTGGATTTCACATGATGTTGGGCCATTACTCTCCTAAATATTAAATTCACCATGTGTAACTCACTTTCTTAACTGATGCCATATTAAAACAACGGAAAATAATTTTAGGATAAATATTAAAGTAAATTTAATTTTATTAATCAAGGGAGTTGTACAAGTAAACACTTACTGGTGGATAGGATTTTATGACTGAGGTATGATAGTTGCCAGAATACTGAGGTGTTGTAGCACCTGGAGTTACTACCCTTTGCTGCTGCTGCTGCTGTTGTTGTTGTTGCTGTTGCTGCTGCTGCTGCTGTTGCTGTTGTTGTTGCAGTCTCAGTTGTTGCTGATGCTGTTGCATTAATCTGTATTGATGAAGCAACTGCTGCAGCATTTGCTAAGAAAATATAGGAGAAAAATGATTACAAAATTATATCACAACCCTTATCAATTAAATTTAGTTTTCATCAATGGTTAACTACAATCTGATTAGATACCTACATTTCTTTAAGTAAGTTGTTTTAGAGATACATAAATAGTAACGTAAATGTGTATAATTTCAGCTCGACAAATTACTTACATTTTGCTGAGTTGTAAGAGTAGGTTGGCTTTGCTGTAGGAACTGCAGCATCTGAAGCTGTTGCTGGTTAAGGTAGAACGGAGGATTGGGAGTGGTAGGCGTGGCCACCCTAGCTCCTCCATTCGTAGTAGTTCTAGGCGTCTCCTCAGTCTGTAAATACACCTAATTAGTGATCATTTAATAACTGAATCAAGTAAAATAACAATACTTTTTTCAAAAAACATTAAGGTAGAAATATCAGTTCCGTCTACTAAATTTAATTTATTTGTAATCATTGTCATTTCTACAGAGCAATAGAGAAATTTTCAAAATTATTTAATTTATATAATATAAAATACAGACTTTTCAACCAAAAACTTTAAGACTTATTGTTCACCCTGGTACGTCAGTAATAAAACATTACATACAGACTTGCGCATACTGATGGTACAAGACCACATTCAGACGTAGAAAAAATTTCGTGACTAAGTTCTCAGACATACCAACAAACTAATACAAAACTTTGCCACAACACATATGTCAGAAAACGCCCGACGAAGGCTGAAGAGAATATGGTTAAGAGATCTACTAGATTAATTTTTTCTTTAATATTTCAAGTCAGGAATAGGTGCCACTGTGTATAGACTTCCCTCTTGCCTGACATGACAATTCTATCAATAAACATTACATCCGCTTATTGTTAGAGGCTGTGACAGGTGAGGATTCAAAAAATAAAGGTTAAAACAATTGAATAATATAAAGACAAATTTAAGTAATCTAGGAATTCAGGCTATCGAACTGGAAAAATAGATCTCTTTATTTAATTAAACAAAGAAATAAGTATTAAATTAAATATTTAGCATGATCTGAAGGCAACAAATTTTTTAACTTTTCAATCAAAAGTTATATAGAGAGTATGCACTGAACAATAGACCAACATATTATTCCTCATTCAAAACAAAAGAAGAATAAGATAAAACAAATAGTAATAAGCAATTATGCTCAGGCGATATAGTATTGAAGTAATGCTGTACAGATAAATTCGTTCACTAACAAAACGGCAAATTATTACTATACTATACAAGAATTATACAATAATTTTTAAACAATATTAATAAATCTGAAATAATTATCGATAAGTGGGAATTTACTTTAAATCTTTTGTTGGCCGGGGCCGCTTGATTGCCCTGAGCGGGATAAGGAGGTGGCGGTCCCTGTGGTGATACCTGATGATGACCATTAGCTCCGTTCACACTACCTGTCTGAAAAAAAAAAAAAATTATCCATTAATGCAGGTAATGAAAAAAGAAATACATAATATAACTAATAATGGAAACGAATAAATAAAGAGCCGATAAAAGAAAGCAATATCATATTAATATTATTTTATCGTCTCCCCAAAAGCATTACGACAAACATAAACAAAAATCAAATTTAATACTCGTGCATGATTTAAAAGTATTTTTGTACTAAGCTTCTTTAGTAAATAATGAACCTCTTTCTTTAGGTCATTTGTGTAACTAAAATATGGCAAATGTGATTTCTTTGATTTTTATAACCTGAGAAAACTCCAGACCTCTTTTTCTAAAAACTAGAAATTTGTATACAAGTAGTTTTGCCTTTGGATGGTTGATATATTATATTATAATAAATTATGAAAAGCAATTCGTTAAATGCTAGATGATTTAATGTAATTGAACTTTTTAACTGTTAATGTTGAAGTAATAGTTGACAATGACTATCAAACCCAGAGAATTTTATCACTAGTCAATGCAGGCCATTTCTAAGGCCCTTAAAAGAAATTTAGGCAAAATAAATAAATAAAGCCTATTGAAAATTCAAATATTTTAAGATTTCCACTTCAAAAAATAAATAAATCTTGAATTCTAAGCTATTGTTCTTTGAATACCAATTTATTATTGTTGGTACTTAATTATTTTATGAGTAAAGAGGTCAAGATGAGTTAAAGTTAATCAGTTAGTTAATTCATTCTTCAGAAACATCTTGCTTTCAATTCAATTTAATAAGTATGGCTATATTATTCAATTTACCTGTGATTTTTGATATTGTTGTTGACCGATCCTTTGGTTACTCCCTTGAGTTTGTTGTTGCTGTTGTTGTCTTGAAGACATTTCTGCAGAGATTGGCAAATTCCATGCTTCCTCTATAGAAGGAAGCTGCCTTCGTCTGAAAAATAAGATATTTATTTTTTGGAAAATATAGTAGAGGCCAATATATCAAATAACTTAGAAAAATAACTACTAAAATAGTTAAATTATTTATTTTAATCGGTTAGTGAACTAACTTGCTAGTTATGCTAGGCATTGGTGCGTTTCCTAAATGAGTCTGAAGAAACTGTATCCTTTGAGCAAGATTTGGGTTCATATGCATGGAAACCCTTGGTGTGATCTGTGTCACACTGTTCCTTTCTCCTTCGTTATTATTATTGTTATTTTCTCCAACTCGGGTTGCGTTTACATAGCATGCATAAGCATCCTTTGGCTGATTGCAGCTTTCGTACAGTATACCTATGATATACGATAATAATAAAATAGAAACAAACTCAACATCTTGAAAAACAAAATTTAAAAAAGGCAATAAACAGCCTCATCCCGAAAATAAATATAAAAAATAATCTTTAATTACTTATTTTCACATATTTTATAAGCATTATACCCATTTAATATATAATATAAATGAATTTTTAAAAGTTATATTTAATAAAATAAATGTATAAAAATTGATATTACCTAAATTCGTCCAAGCTGCACTGTGGCTTTTATCTAATTGAACAGCACATATGTAAGCTTGGAGTGCATCCATAGGCTGATTCTGCTGCTGGTAAAGGACTCTAAAACAAAAAATAGAATCGTCATGACAACAACTGAAATTATCAATAAAATGTTTAAAATTACAAAAGTACAGCAGACTCTTGGTTTACTAACAAAAACAAAATTCTAAATAAACAAATGTATGGAATGTTTTTCCGGGATGTGGATGCTATTACAGAAATTTGAGATAGCTAAGATAATAATAATAATACTCATTTAATTTAATTATAAATTAAATATAATATTTAAATATGATAAAATTCTTTAAAAAAAGTAATTTTCACATTTAATATCATACTCGATAATAGCAGATAATCAATTGTCACTAGTTAGGAACTTCCATAGATAAAGATTTTTCATTAGAAAATTATTTTACATTGGACTTAAAATTTACTTTAGTGAAAATTTACTTTAGTGTGGAACTGAAAATGACCAAAAATAACATGTTTTTGCAATGAGAGTAGGAGAAATATTTTTTAAGTAAAGTTTTATTATGCATTCTTCAATAAATTTGCACGAAATAAAAAAAACATTAAATAAAGCTCCTCAAACTCACCCTATAGAGCACCAAGTATCAGCATTTCCCTCAGATTTTTCTACAGAATTTCTGTACGCTATGAAAGCATCATGAACTTTCCCAACACTCGCGTAACACCTTCCAAGGAGATACAATGATTGTCCGGATTTAGGATCAGCTTCTATCGACTTCTGAAGGCAAACAATAGCTTGAGATTCTCTATTTTTTTTGTCACCCAAAGAATCAACACAATGATACATCCATCCTGGGAATAAAAGAAGTGGATGAATCCAAACCATTTCAAAACTATAAAAATAACTGCAATGAAGGAAGTAGTAATTTCATAGATATATTACCTAACTGCCTACAAATGTCAGCTTTTAAGTTGATAGGTAATTCTTTTTCTTTCAACAAGAGTTCATAATTATCCTTGGCAGACTTGTATTTCCCTTGGACTTCATACAGATGAGCAATATGGAATTTAACTGAAAATAGATTGTATTCTCAGATTACTGAATATACACGGTTAAGAAAATCGTAATTCCTAACACATGCTTACTCCAATTATTTTTAAAATTAATTAATTAATGTAATATTGCTATAATGCCAAATTGAATGGAGAATTTGTATTTCACCGTAATACATACAATTTAATTTTTTGTTATTATTTTTCTATGAAAGGTTTTTAAAAGTACTATAGAACACAATCACATATCAGTAGAACTGATCATATAAGTCAAAAACATATTTTAATGAAAAACATAATTGTGAATTTTTTTTTTATTGAAATTGTGAATATTTTGTTATTAACATTCAAATGATATACTCCAATATTTATAATAAAAGATGGCAATGTTGAGAAAAATACTTACTTTCTATTTTTGAAAAAGTACAAGCACTAGCATCAATTAATGCTAATTGAAGATGTTTCAAAGACGATTCCCAATCGTTGTTAACTTTGAACATCAACCCGAGACGTAGGTGAACCTCATTGGCCCGGGAAAATCCAGGTTCCACGTAAAGAACCTGCTGGAAAGCCTTCACTGCCCTAAAAACAAACAAAAAAAAAAGTTATAAATAACTGAGCAATATTATACTATTTCATAATATAAAATACAGGAACGTATGAGTAGCTACATATCGAAGACAGACTTCTGTCATTTTAAGAAAGCAGAGAAAAAGTGAATTTTTGTTTTATGTGTTCAATTCAAACTGTTTCTGATAATTTTATTTAAGAATGTTCAAGTTAGCTACATATCGAAGACAGACTTCTGTCATTTTCAGAAAGCAGAGAAAAAGTGAATTTTTGTTTTATTGGTTTAATTCAAACTGTTTCTGATAATTTTATTTAGGAATGTTCAAGTTGAACCATGGAAAAAAAGATCATTTTATTAATTACATTACATTAAATATTGTACAAAATTATCATTAGTTCTGAAGTTAATAATGAAGGTATAACTAACAATGTAGATACAGCAAGGAATATTGATAATTAACATTTTTTGGGTTGGATAGGTAGTTAACTTTTGTTGACTACCTCACCTTCCCATCGATTATATAATAAATTTAATTAAGTATATATAAATTATCAAATCTAAGTACATTAATAAAACACTTATTATAAAATTATATTTAAAGTATAATTTTGTCATAATTTTTTCTCCTAAAAATAAATAAATATGACAATCCAATAAAGGTGCGAATGAAGAGTTACTGAGGACACTAGCGGATCCAGGATTTAATTTTTTTTTGGGAGGGGCTTCAGCCCGAAAGCTTTTTTTTCATAAAAATAACGATAATTACTTTGCATAAAAGAAAGAAACTAACTACCTGTATGAAATGGTGTTTAAGTGATTCCTAAAGTCCTTTTAAATGTGATTACACGAACAATAATACTTTAAGAAATAATTTTTTAATATTTTTTTCCATAAAACATGGGTATATTTTACCATTTTGGGGGGACTCAGCCCCAAAGCCCTCCCCCCTCTCCCCTCGTAGATTCGCCCGTGACTAACCAGGAGTTTATAACTAAAATATCTTTACATACAATTATAGTAATATATATTATTTTTTCATCAAATCAAATTGAAAAAAGTGAAAGAAAAACTACAAACTGAACTAATTTGACAAACATATGAAAATTCAGCAGATTAACGTTGTTTTGAAAGAAAAAAAAAAACATACAAGTACTTGATATTTATCATAACAAAAGTAAGTTGTTGGCACTGTTCATAAGACATTATTATTTTTAAATAAACGTAATGAATACTTAACAGTTTTACAACAAAAAGGAATTGAACCCAATTATAGGCAATAGATGTGTATTACTTAACCATAAAGGTGATGAAAAAAGTATTCATTTCTCAATAAGAAACTTGCGTCAAGTTATTGCATCATTTCATAAACAATTAACTTCATTACCCTTAACTTATGTATGCTAATATCGTCTATGAACACTAGAAATAGTCCCATCAGTAAGAATATATAACATATTTACTGCAAAATATATAAATATCATTTATTCTGTCTTTAAGGTCCTTAACGCAATTTAAGATCGGTTTGCCGAGTGTTTTTGGACAATGAAAACATCAAGAAAAAAAAAATCAATAGATAAAAATATACAAAAAATATTTTTAACACGTTTAAAGGTTTAATTATTATTTACGATATAAAATTTGAACTATGAAACCATAACAAGCTTACAATGTTAATATTAGAAATGCTATACCAATAAAAACAAAAGACAAATTTATAAACGAATAAAAAATTTATATAAATAAAATTCGCAATAAAAAACAAACCAATTTTACAGACTGCTAGGTCACGACCTTGGCTAAATTAAACTCGGCCATTGCCCTACTGCCGTAAATAGCTCCCTCAAATTAAATTATTAACCCTTCCTTATTACTTATGCTACAATTACAATATATTAATATGGATAATAAATTAGCCGTCGTTTTTTAAAAATTAAAATAAATTTCAAGTCTTTAAAAACATATAAATGTATACCTTTTAAAAATCTTAATAAAGACAATTTATGTGGAAAATTAATTGTATTTTAAATATTATGTTTGAATGTTTGGTAAGACATTTCGGTATAGAGATAAAAATACACTCTTCGAAAAATACTAAAATTACTTGGGCATAAATACAGAAGAACTGAAAAAAAAAGTCTGAACAAATATATACAAATCTTTATTTCATCAATTTTCAACACAAGAATAGTCACAAGTGCGTTCTTATATACAACTAAAATAATAGATTATGTTCATTATAAATCGAAAATTTACATACTGGACTATTTTACGGAATTGCAAAATAACGATGACATAGTGTGTGCCATATTCAGGGAAAGGCATGCAGTTCGGTGGGTTTAAGCATACGTGGGTGTGTGTTCGTTATGAAACATCTTAGGAGATAAGACATTAAAAAATACCAAATTATTGTGGTATTTATTCATCAATTTAAATAATTATAAACTCACATAAAAAAAAACTACAGTCAAGACTGTCACAATATTATAAACTCTTGAAAAGTCAGTTATTAAGAAATATTTCATATAAGTACGAATATACTATCAAAGAATCGATATTACTATAAAAAAAATTCCAGGAAATAATCGGAACAATCGAACAGTCGGTATTGGTTATAATTAGAACGAGTAGGTTTACATTGACATTGCTCAGGGTCGCAAGGGAATACCACATGTGAAAACACCTACATACCGGGAAAAACCGTATCAAACGTCAGGTATAACGTAATAGCTGATCCAATACAAATATTGTACCACGCGTCGAATTATCTCAAATAAAAATTTCACTACCAAGGCGAATTGTTTCTCAAAATTATCACATAATCGAAGATAATTATTTAATAATAAAAACTATTTTATTTTGAATAATTCATAATAAACCACGAATGATAGTACCTAATTGAATTATTAAAAAACTATTTATGTAATGACTGTTAAAAAATCCTTGATCATACATATAATTATAATGGTCATTTATTTACTTTTTTAATGAAAATAGAAACAACTTATTTTAGATAGGTGCATAAAAAATGACGTTTTTGATAATAAATATTATTCATAAATCTCCTACCAATTAAGACATAAAATTATTTTACAATATCACTATAATTCCGTTTGATTATTATTATAATTAACCATATTCGTAAAAAAAATAATAAAACATCACTATTGTAAGACGAAAATGCATAATCAATGTTAGATATAGTAATGGAACAAAAAAAAAGTGTTTGTTTAAATAAATACTTTACTTTAGAAAACGAATACATTTTACGCATCACTGAAAAAAAAAAGAATTTTTAATTTCCTATCAATTAAATATTAAAGATAGTTTTATAATATTATTATGTTATAATTCTTATTTGAAATGTATGTGCGTAATGTTTTAAGTAGGTTCAAGTTCTTTTTAACATGCTTAATAATATAGTACTGAAAGTATCGCCAAAGGCAAGATAAAGGTCCAGGGGTAGTAGCCAGATTTTCCATCTAAGGTCGTGGCAGACATGTTTAAAAAATAAGTAACTAATATCCAAAACTGTGAGTAAATCGTTTAATATTTTTTTCTACCAAAACCTGATTTTTTCCTTCTATTTTTATTATGTTCGTAAACTTTTATTAGTAGTAGTAATAATAGACTTTTATCTCTTGTTCGTAAAGTCTATGAATATTAATGAAAACAATTTGGTTAACATTGTTCATATATCTGTATATATGCATATATCACTTCTTTTGTAATCTATGTGCATATTCTCGTTGTTTAAAAACAATTTTAAAATAAGTGCTAATTATAATCGGTAAACATTGATTGAAAATGTTATTGTAGCTTTCCGTACTTTTATAGGTTTCGGTTCATTACAGAGATGAATATCTATTATTATTGTTAGATTATTTTTTATAAATTTATTTTTAAAAAATAAACAAGTAAAAACGCAAAGCCGTTACTGAGGAAATGTCCTTATTAGGTACTTTTGAAACAATTTTCCTTATTTCTATGTAGGAAATTAATAAATAATAATCATAATCAAACTATAATTTTAAATATTTAACAATTTCAATGTTTCTTTTAAGTAATAATGGCGCATTATAATAATTAAAGCCCCTGAAAAGAAGAACTTACCTACTAACGTCAACTATCCCAGTGCAAGGAGTACAAATAATGAGAGTCCCGAACGGTTCGTAGCCCGAGCGATGACTGACACTACAATCTCCACTCAGGAGTACCTGACGTCATGGACATGAGTAACCTGAGAGAAATCATGAATGAGCGGGAGTAACTTCTCCGAATCAGTCGTGAATCACCTGGGAACCATCCCATCTCTCCTGCAACGATTCCCACATCCCTTAGGACGTCGTATCCCGTACAGCTACAGTTCAACTTTTGACGGCCAGAGAGAGAGAGAAAAAAAAAAAAAATACGAAATGAGATGACCCTACTTAAGGTTTAAGACCATACCCTCTTGACTGACTAAATCTGTTATCACATAAAATTATCAGGTGAGTTCATTGCTATCGTTCGAATGCTTCGAGAGGTCGGTTATGCAACAATTTAAAAGCGTATGTCACGTTGATTTGCACGAACTATATGAGTCCAGATAATACGCACGAAATAAGAAAATAACATTATTTTGTTTAAATACAATGCCCCCTAAAGACATCGGTTTCTAATAAATATAATACTGATCAATTTATTATTTTAAAAATAATAAGAAAAAGAAACAGAATTTATTATACGCTTATTTTATACATAATGGGAACATATTTTTTTAATGAGCTAATTACCCAAAAAAGCTGATTGATAACATAATTTAACAAAAATTTATTCAATGTCAAAGTTATACCAAATGATACAGAACTAAATATCAACGAGATTACTTTTCTCAAGATACATAAAATAAAATCGCATATCGTCAAATGGTGGTTGATTAGGAATGTTAATATTAATAGTTAGAAAATAAAATGTATTTATTATTGCTATTTTTGATATGTGTTGTTGACTATTTTAGATTTTAAATTAATGT